TAAACAATTAGCAGACTCAGAATATTTTGCAGGCATGACCTGTGTCTGGTCCCAAAACATGTTCATCATCCCTAAAGAAGACCTGTATGCATTAGCAGTCATTGCTAACCCCCTCCCACCAAACCTAACTCCTAATAGCTTTCTGTTTCCTGGAAATCCTATCCATCACATATTTTGTATGTTGTATGTATTATATAATGTATTTTTACAATAAAAGTGAGCTAAAGGGAAGAAAATGTTATTAAAATAATCATAAGGATGAGAAAACACACTATAGTGTTTATTGAAAAAAATCCGCATATACGTGGATCCAAGCTGTTCAGACCAGTGTTCAAAGGTTAGCTGTATTTAAATGCATTGTCTTATTTTCAATCACCTATATTACTCTATCACAAAATCCTGGCCTGGCGTGGCTCAGGCAATTGGGGTTAGATTCCTGTTCAGGGCACACGCCCAGGTTGCGGGCTCGATCCCGTGTCATGGGCATGCAGGAGGTAGCCGATCAATGACTCTCTCATCATTGATGTTTTTATCTCTCTCTTTCCCTCTCCTTTCCTCTCTCTGAAATCAATAAAGATATATTTAAAAAAACAAAATCAAAGATGTTCAACATTTCATATCTCTATTTAAATAACCATTATCTGCTTTGTAATCTGATTTTATGTTAAGCTTTTAAAAACATCATTCTGAAGGTAGGGGGCTAGGTGAAAAAATTGAATGGATTGAGAAGTACAGATTGGTACTTAAAAAATAGTCACAGGGTTGTAAAGTACAGCCTGGAAAATATAGTCAATACTATTATAATAACTCTGTATGGTGCCAGGTGGGTACTTGAAATATAGGGGGGATTATTTTGTAAATTATATAAATGTCTAACCACTATGAGGTACACCTGAAACTAATACAAAATAATATTGAATGTCAACTGTAATCGAAAAAAATAAAGAAATTTAAATTTAAAAGAAAAGAAATAAAAGAAAAACATTCTGAGATGGGGTCCATGGTTGCTGAGAAATCCCTAGAAGGGTCCCCATTACCCTATGGCCAAAAATGGGCAGAGGACCACAATACACATTCCTTCAAATAGAACATACAGATGGCCACTAGATAATACCACAATAAGAAAAAATACTTTGACAAAATTCAATATCCATTTATACTAAGAACTCTTCACAAAGCAGGTGTACAGGACACATACCTCAACATAATAAAGGTTAATATTATTTTATTTATTGACTTAATTTTTAATCTATTTTAATTAATTATTTTAATTTTATTTATTTTTAATTATTTTTATTCAATTATTTTCAAATTTTATTTATTTAAATTTATTTATTTAAAAGTTTTACTTATTTTCTAATTTTCATTTTCTTCCATTTTATTTCATTTCATCCCTATGGAAAATGTGTAAGCCACCATTTTGCCCTCTGATATGAACATCCATCCCTCTTTCTCAATACCCCATATCTACCTACATCTGCTTTTAAAAAAAAAATTACTTTTATTGTTGAAAGTATTACAGATGTTCCTTTTTCCCATTGACCCCCTTCTACACTACACACACACACACACACACACACACACAACCCTCTCCCTCTCCCACACCCCCTTTCCCCCCCCCACACACACACACTCCCCAAATCCAAGCACCAGGCCTTTGCCAAACTATTGTCTGTGTCCATGGATTATGCATATATGCATGTCAGTTCTTTGGTCAATCTCTTTCCTCCCATTCCCCCACCCCTGCCTTTGGCCTTTGAGATTCATCAGTCTGTTCCATGCTTCTGTCTGGATCTATTTTGTTCATTAGTTTATCTTGTTCCTTAGATTTCACATATGAGTAAGATTATATGTTACTTGTCTTTCTCTGATAGTAGTATGGAGAAGGCCTGGGAAGGGGGTATGTGGGATGAAGGGGATCAATGGGGGAAAAGGAAGACATCTGTAATACTCTGAATAAAGATAAACTTTTTAAAAAGTAAAAAGAAAATAAATGAGTTCTAACAATGTGGAAAATCCTACGTGAACTCAAAGAGATGACAAAGTGTCTGAACCTGAGATGATGAACCCAAATGATTAGATCCCAGACATAGAACATGGGTTCCTCACTTGGCCCTTTCCCACCCCCACCACAGAAGAGGGGTGTTTGGGGAAATGATTAAAAACCAGGCACTCAGGCTTCTGAAGAGTCTTCATCATGTTTTTCTGGTGCCTCTAAACTGTTATGTCACAACCAATTACCACTCTCCTTTTTCCCTCTCCATAGCAGAACCTGAAGAGAAAGAACATCCACACCGCTCACTTCAACCCTCCTGTTCCTGACTTGCTTTGATGTTTGCATGTGCATGTCTAAATCATCATGGGCACCTATTTCCAACAGATTCTATTACTCCCCACAGACCAGTCCTGGAGAGTGAATAGAGGGTATGTTTAAAATGCAGATTCCTGAATCTCTTCCACAGTGAAACCCTTTCTCTTAAAGTTTGGAGATGGCATTCCTCAGCTGTCCCAGAACTACTCCCACACACATCCAGTGTACCCACGAGAACACAGGCAACTGATTTTGCCATCTCCATCCTCCCTTCCCCTGCCCAGGCCAGCACAGCCATATGCATGCCTGTACCACAGCCTGCTTCCCAAACCTGATCTCTCTTCATAGTTGTATCACTTCACACCTAGCTGAAAGACCCTATGACCTTGTCTGTGCCTCTGTCTCCCACTGTTCTTCTGGTTGCAATTTTCAACAGGGACACCTACCTAGCTATTTCTTTCTGACCTTAGATCACAGTGTTCATTCCTGCTGTACAAACCTCTGCCTGGATCATCAGTGAGATGCCCTGAACACACTTAGATGTCCTTTCAGCTCACAGACCTCCCAGACTCAGAAATCTCCATGGACCCTATAGAGACCTCCTGACCTCCCAACCTCACTACCATTTGGACTTCTCTTTGATCCTGTATTTGCTCCTTCATGATCCTCAGGATTCAGGGACCCTGTCTGAGTGAGCACCACATCATGGATGTCCAGAGTTACTCATGGCCCAAGAGCATTCTCAGAGTCTCTGGCAGGCTAATGCTCAGTGAGCCTGGTATGGCTGCACAGGATTCCTTAGGGGCACCTCTAATTGGTGGACATCAGAGAGCACCTTGCACCCATGTCTTGGTGGGTGACAAAAACAAAGCCCTGCCAGAGAAAGTATGAGTCTGCTGTGCCCAGCTCAGTTCTGATGGTGATTGGGG